TGTGGGGAAAGAAGCCCTCCCCAGTGGATCATTCCTTCCCAGTGTCCCACCTGATGCTCCTACCTTCCCAGAAATACCTCCCATGGCATCTGAACACCTCCAGACCCTGTGAAAATCAATACTACCCAGCAGCCACTTCAGCAGACTCTCTAAAGGGCTGCTCAAATCTGCTGAGTGTTCTCCCACAGGCATCACAGGTTCATGGCTTCCAACGAGCTGCATCTTCTCAGTGCGCTCAGCTTGATGACTATGTGTCCCAACCCCACCACACCCAGCTGGAGGTTTGCTCCCAGGGCCCATGTGCTGGGAGCTCATTTCCTGGTGTAGTGACGCTGAGATACTGGAACCTTTAAGAGGTGGAGCCTGGTAGAAAGAAATTAGCTTCCAGAATCCCACCTTCACCAGGGACTGAATCAATTCCTTCCTGGGGACTGAGTCAACGCTATGACATTATAAATAAAGCAAGACACCCCATACACCTAGGCTTTTCTGCATGGAATCACTTCTGTTGCTGTTTTTCCAATGTATTATGACCCTTCTCAAAAGCCACATTGGACTCTCAGTATCTAAGATAGTGAGAGACAAACCTGCTTCCTTTATCAAGTACCCTGCATCTGGCATTTTGTTACTGCAATTTGAAACAGACTAAGCCAGAGACCCACAAGCATGTTCCAGAAGACTAAACCTTTTCTCTTCCATGACTCCTGAGTTCTGCCCTGTGTATATTATTATACACACAGACACACAGACACACACACACTTTACAGACAGGAATACCCGAAACTCAAAAGCACAGTGTACCAGAACAGGAACATATATATGAAACTGAAAACATCAGCTGGAGCCTAAGTTGTGCCACTCAGTGACTCACCAAAGTCTAAAGGTTTCCCATCACACAAAAAGAAATACAAGTGCCTCTCCTATAATGGTATGTGGCTTGCTCCCAACTAAACCAAAAGAAGCCATAAGTCCGAGGATGCAGTCAGAAATATCTATTTAATTTTAATTTTTAAAGATGCATTTCTCTTATATGTATGGCGAGTGCCTGCATGTATTATGTGTACCACATGATGTGTCCATGGACTAGAGGATGACACTGAATCTTCTAGAACTGAAGTTATAGGTGGTTGTGAGCCACATCGCTATGTGGATGCTGGAACCAAACCCTGGACCTCTGAAAGAGCAGGAAGTGTTCTACCACTCGGCCGTGTCCCCAGCCACGTTTGCTTATCTCTACAAATACAAAACCCAAGGCAAATAAGCTCCAAGGTTTACATAGAGGAAAGACGTTCAGGGAACTCAGGACATATTTCATGAACCATGAGGTGGAGATGATCTAGAGGAACATTCAGAAGTTTAAGTAGAGTGAGATATGTCAGGGGGGGGGGGAGGGCCCAACAGAATGGCGCAGATGCAGACTGGCACCACCAGGACCAGTTTGTGATAGAATCAACTGAGAAAGCAAAGAGAGGAGTAAGAGGAAGGACCCTGGAGGCAGCAGCACATCTCCCGCATTCTTCAACTCTCTCATGTCTGCAGAGCAGGATGCTGAAGCATCTTCAGGACCAGCAGAGCCGAGACATCTGTAGATGTCTAGTCTGGGCAGGATACCTGGGTCCTGCTGTGAACATCCCTCCTGCTACATGGTGACAGGGCACAGCAATGGGAATGCCTACCAGCCAAGTCAGCAGGGCTTCGTGGCAAAGTCCTTCGTAACAGAGTCACATATCCAAAGCTTTCCAGGAAGCTAAATGGTTGTAGAGGGCTCCCCTGAGGATTAGGACATGATAGCAAGCCAACAGGCCCTTGGTGCTAAAGACAAAAATGATGGCTTTCTAGCTGAAGGAGATGCTAGGGCAGACACACCTGTAGACTAGTCACTGACCATGAAGCCTGAGAGTTCTTAGGTTTGGGAACCCAAACTTCATCTTACAGGGGAGGAAACTGAGGCCAAGAGAGAGAAGATAGCCAATCTGAAGGCCACCAGATGGGTCAGAACCAGAAACAGGGTGGAGAACTGCTTCCAGCCCCAGGGCTGTAGATACTCTAATGAAAAGCACCATCACCATCCACTTTGGGTGAAGGTCTCAAGAGTGCCAGAGGCTGGGGTGGTCAGAGGCGCCGAACACAGAGAAACTCTGAACATGGTTGTACTGGCCAGTTTTATGTCAACTTGACACAAGCAAGGGCCACCAGAGAGTACAGAGCCTCAACTGAGGAAATTTCTCCACAAGATCCAGCTGTAAGGTGTTTTCTCAGTTAGTGATCATCAACTCGGGAGGGCCCATCCCATATCGCGGGTGGTGACATCGCTGGGAGGTAGTCCTTGGTTCTGTAAGAAAGCAGGCTGAGCAAGGCATGACAGCAGCCCAGTGAGCTGCGTTTCTCCGCGGTCTCTGCATCAGTTCCCACCTCCAGGTTCCCGCCTGTGTGCAGTTCCTGCCCTCGCTGCTTCTGATAATGAACTGTCAGATGGAAGTATAAACCAAACAAACCCTTGCCTCCCCAGGTTGCTTTTGGTCTGGTGCTTGATCACAGCACTAGGAGTCCTAACTAATACAGTGGTTCTCAGGAAGCAACTGGAAAGGAACTGTGAGTGGCTGCAGGAGGAAGATGCAGAGGCAGGCTGACTCCTTTACCCAAGGATGGAGTAAGGACAAACAGAGAAAAGCTAGGAGGTTCGGGGCAAGAAGCGCAGGAGTTTGTGGGACAGATGGCCTCAGACTTCTCTGGAGGTGGACAGCTGCGAGACCAGATTCGTGAGGATTTGACTAGAGGTGTGTGGTAGAAACCAGAAAATGAACCAAGGGGTACCCAGGCATCGGTGAAAAGTTCCCACTTTTGAGGCACAGTTTTGAGGCTTGGACTTGGCTGGACTGTGATCTCTGCTGCAGACAAATGATACAAGCGCTCATCTCCAGCAGCATTTGGCAGCCTGGGAAAAACCACAGAGAAAACAGGTGACCCTGGGTCCCGAAAGGAAGCCAGAGAACAGTTGTCAGGGCAGAAGAACCAAAAGCTGAGTGAGGACCAAGCCCTGGTTCCTCTAAGTCAGGGAAGAAAGCAAGAAAAAAAAAGGAGTCTTGGGGATGTGAGATGGCTCAGAAGGATGGGAGTAAGGGAATCTGTGAGGTTTGCTGAAATGAAGCTTAATGAGAAGAAACAGTGCCCAGAATATAGTTAGAGGTGGCAAGTGAGTCCTGAGTTCACCTAGGTAAAGAGAGGAAGAAAAAAAAAAGACACAGAGGATGGATGTGAAGGTCAGCCATGAAGGCAGACCTCAACTTTAAGAAGTAGACTGGGCTAGGGAGGCAGAAAGGGAGAAGGTGGGACACCTCCCTGGAACTTGGGGTAAAGAGAATCTCCAGCTGAGAAACAAAGACGGAATTGGGATCAGACAGGGAAGGAGGCAAGAGCTGTTACAAGGTAGGAAATCTAGAGCAGATAGAAGTCCTGAGGTACAGAGGCAAGTGGTGGCATCACTGTAGGGATGGCCCCCTCAGGAGGATGCAGCCATGAGCACCAAGAGCCAGATTCTATCACCCCAGGGGTCAGCATCTCCCTGAGAGTAAACCCAATTACCAGGCATCCGTTTTGAGCAGCTACATCCTATGGCACCCCCAGGGAACGTCTGCTAAGTGTCTTCCAGGTAGAAACAGCTTCATATCTCCAGCTCGAACATGTCCCCAGAATACCCAGCTTCCAAGACATGGTCTCACCTGCCACTCTATTCCTCCTGCCCCATACTCCTTCTAATTAGTCTTCGTGTGACAGGTATGTGTCTGTGCATATGCACTCGTGTGCGTGCAGGGGTGCATGGGGTGGGCAGAGACTGGTGGATTTAGCCCTCAATCATTATCTTATCTTTTAACCTTAATCATTAACCTTCTCTTCTGAAGCAGGTTTTTATCACTGGGCCTGGAGCTCACGGATTAACAAGGTTAGGTGACTAGCAAGCTCTAGGGCATCCCCACTTCCTCAAAGGATGTAACAGAATGCACTGTCACAGTGAACTCAAGAACTCGGGTCCTCATATCTGCACCGCTGAGTGATCTCCCTGCATCCTTCACTATTCTTCGCTCTCCACCACCTGTCACGCTAGTTACACCAACTGTGTTCACCACCTTCTCCTCGGTGCTTACAGTAGAGCCCGGTGTACCACAGTCACTTAGCAAGCACTTTTAGAGGGCTGAATACATTATCTTCGAAACCCGGAAGAAGGAGTAAGAAGTCATTCCTGTTCTTAGAAAGAGAAGTGCTAGGGATGGACAGATGGCCCAGTGGTTAGGAACACTGGCGGCTCTTTCAGAGGACCTGGGTTCCCAGAACCCACATGGTTGACACAACTGGATGGAACTCCAGTCCCAGGGGATCCAAAGCCCTCTCTAGCCTTGGGTACTGCACAGGGTACAAAGATATACACACAGGCAAAACACCCATACAACATAAAATGGTTTTTATAATAGATGACTAATTTAAAAGGAAAGAAATGAATGAGATTTGTGGAGGTCATTCATTCTAGCTTCTGTCTCCAGAAAGGTAAGGTGAGTCTGTTCTGACTATCACCTCCCAGAGCCAAGGTCTGCTCTGCCCATCCCCTGCAGGCTCCTTCCTGTACAGCCGTGCTCACAAAACCTGCTCCCTCCCCACCCCAGGTTCTGCAAGAAGGTAATGGATCCCCTAGACCCACTGCCCAGAAGATATCTATAAAGTGGTTTCTTCTTCCTCTCCCTATATTAGTAATGTGCCCATCATGTAACCCTGTGTTCAGCCATGTTTCCAGAAGGCATTCTGTGCACACAGCTTCCTGGTTGGCGGCTACCTCAAGGGTGGGAGGGTCTGACAGGCATCCTGCATGTATTTTATTCAGGAACCTGCCAAGCTCATTACTGGGACAATATCTCAATTTTCCTCTTTTCTGTATCGGTGTGTAGTGTCTACGGCTCTGCAATTAGCATGAAGAGCCAATCGTTCCTGAAAAGAATCACAGCAAGACATACCGTGACCTGGGCGGAGTCGAGGAACTGCAGACCAAAATAATCTGTTTCCACCAGGTCCAGGTGGTATACAATCTGATCGAACAAATCCTGGCCTTTGGCATGTTTCTGAAAGACAAACAGGGACATGAATATTATTAAGGATATGATAGAAGGATAAAAAAATTAAAATATTTTTAAAAATCCATTTCTCTTCATAAATTGCACACGTGCATACACATTTGTAAATTTTTAATTAGTCTTATTTTAGTGAAGTAAGAATCTGTAATTAAAGATACTCAAATACCATGCAATCCTACGGTCCAGCCGAATGCTGTCTTCCTTTCAAACACTCAACTTCCTTTCCTTACAAGAAGGAAGCTTTTTGGATGAAAGACTTTATGTGATGGTATGTTTTGCCCAGACCAGGCACTCTGCAAAGAGGGGTGACAGGGCTCTGCGATGGGGCTCTGCTCCAACACAGCCACTCCTGGGCTGGCTGTCAAGGCAGGCCACCTGAGCAAATCTGCTCATTTTTGTGAAATGGCTTGTCCAGCCTTCTGATTTTACAGGGCAATTAACCAAAGCCCAGGAAAAACAAAAGATCTGCCAAAGAGCACAGCCATCTCGCTAGGACAGAAACCCAAATCCCAGGTCCACTCCAGGTTCTCTGTGGTGCACAGACAGAGCAGGAACACAAGAGAAGGGTCAGATGTAGCAGCCCCACCTGCCGCTTAGAAAGGCAGGATGTCCGAAAAGCCATGTCTCTTGCTTTTGCCCTGCACAAACAGCTGGTGACAGGGGCTTTCCCCACCTCTGTTTTGGGAGACAGAGGAGGTCTAAAACAGAAAGCTACTGCAAGAAGACTCAGACCTTTGACTTATGAGGAGGCTTATTAGTACTCACTGGAGCAGAATGCAGGCAGGTCACTCTGATAAAATCTATACCATAGCAAATACATTTAAACTAGGTATTAAAGAAAACACTGAAAAAGCAAACAAACAGTGACTTAAGGTGATAATTGGAGAACCCACTCCTTATTACAAACACTGGCAATCCACAGGAAAGCGGCTGGCATCACCTGACCTTTCCCTGTCCTGAAGAGTAGGTAGTAGTGAACACGCAAGTAACTCAAGATGGACCAGGCCTCAGTGGAAGAGAGAGAACTATGAAACTCCCAATACACAGACACGGTGCTTCATGAGCTTGGGTTAAGGGGTGGCTGGAGAGAGACGGCAGCAACAGTATAAACTAAGTAACAAGAAGAACAATGAACTGTATATCCAAGAATGAAACTTCCATGCTTCAAAAGCTCTGTGATGACAAAAATGTGCAAAGGCAATCCATAATGTGGGGGAAGTTTGCAAATCATATATAGTTGTCACTCCAGCCTGTGGGGAAATGTTCCAGCGCCACTCAAGAAGACCAAAACACACAGATGCTCAAATCCCTCATACCCATGGCAAATAAGTTATGCACACCCTCGCATGTGACTTAAATCCTCCAGAGGACTCATAACACCTAAGACAACAGATGTTATGAGAAGAGTTCTGCTTGCTTCACTGCGCTGTTTAGGGAATGACCAAAGAAGAGTCTACACGTGTTTAGCATTGACCCAGCTTTTTCTTTTTTCAGTAGTTTTGATCCAGTCAGTTGATATCAAGGGTCAACTGACAGTGACCTCTGCCCAAAATAAATAAAAGAACTATTACAATTCAATAACGAAAAGGCAGGCGTCCAGTTAAGCAGCCAAAGGATACATACGGTGCTCTGAAGCTATGCAGGGGTTCCATAGCACTGGGAAAGGTGACCAGCATCGGCAGCCACAGGGACATGCAAACCATGACAACCACACCCACCGTATGCCCACTCGGACGGCTGGGATGGAAAACCTAACAGAAAACGCTGGAGACCCTAGACTCCTCACACCCTGCAGCCACACTGGAAAACCCTCCATCAGCTCCTGTATGGTTAAGTGCACATTAGCACGAGACCTAGAAGCCTATCTGGAGGTATATATGAACAATTAAGTAAATACACACACACACACACACATGTTTATGCCTATGTTGTACATGGATGGTGGCATTCACTCTATGCATTATACTCAAGAGGCAGAAACACCAAAATAGCCTGATGATGATCAAAATATAGAATCTCACTCGGTGGACTATTATTTCAGCATGAAAAGCACTGGAGTACTAATGCTTGCTACCACAGGGATGGACTTAGAAAACCCTCTGCTTCAGTCAAAGAACCTGGCCACAAAGTGCCACCCTTGTCCATCCCTGTCATAAGTGTGGGCAAACCCTAGAGGCAGAAATAAGGTTACCGGTTGCTAAGGGTTGGGGAGCTGGAAGATGATAGCAAGGCTGGTATCTTACCAAAGAAATGTCCTGAAACTGACTGCATGGACAGATAGAGAATAAGGCATATATACTGTAGTCTCCAGACTGGACACCTTAGAAGCTGACATGTGAATCCCAGTAAAGCTACAACACACTCTAGATTCCTGTTTTCTTTACGAAAGAATCCCAACATGTAAATTAATTAATTAGTTAAGTTGTAACATCAACATCTCACAGCCTGAATTACAATACAATGACAACTCCTATCTTACCCATGAAGTAACCAGCCAGGGTGCCCCTTACAGAGCGTCCCACCTCCTGAGTCACAAATCGCTTTGTGTCTCCACAAGATCCAGGCTGAGAAAAACTCTAGAAACCACATAATGCAGACTGTCTGGTTTCTAGTATAGGAAGGCAGAAGAGATGAGGTGCGGAGAGGTTCAAAGATCTAAAAGACTGTCTTCAAAAGACAAGGTCAAACCACAACACCTAGGATGGAGGGACAGACAGACACATATCACACTCTGACACACATATGCACATGTACTCACACACATACATGTATGCAAACACACTGACACGCACATGCACACACACTGACACATAGACGTGCATATACACATGCATGCATGTGCGCGCGCACACACACACGCGCGCATGCACAGTCACACACAGTGACACACACATTGACACACTGTCTAGGAAACACACTTGGGTGAGGAAACTTGAGATGAATAAGGAAGTGGCCTCAGTAAAGTCAGGGAAGCTGCTGCTTCTGAGGGAAGAACACGGAAGGAGACGGGATGGGGGACATGCCTGCTCAGCATCCAGAGATTTATCTCAGAAGACAGGGTGTTTGCATCCTAATAACTCATCGACCTACAGCACAGTTTTATCTGCACACCTACAGGGAATCTACAAAATGAAAACACAGGGGTGGGGATGAAGACTCGCCTCAGCATCTACCACTAGACTACGGACTGCAGACTTCCTGGACCAGGTCCTCTGAAGCGACCACAGACGCAGAAGGCTAAATGTGCAATGAAGGTCTCTACAACACATCTCACCGGATAAAGACTGAGGTGGGAAACAACCCAGCTAAGGCCCCAAGTGCAAGGACAAAGAACAGTGGCATGCCAACGCTCCAGATACTGCTCTACCAGTAGAGAGGATAATTACAAAGAGGTGGAATACATGTAAATCAGTAAACAAGCTTTGATTCCAACTACATTAAAGCATATGCATTGTAGGACTGGCAAGATGTCTGAGTGATCAAGGCACCTGCCACACAAACCCGACTGTCTGAGTTAAATCCCTGGAACCCACATAAATAGAGGTGGAAGGAGAGCAGCATCTCCACAGAACTGCCCTCTGGCTTCCACACACGCACCATGGCACGCATATGCCCTGCCACATGCACCAGGCGCATACAATAACAAAACGTTAAAACATATGCACTGCATATATGGGCTGCCTTTTAAAAGCAGGATATTTGTGAAAGAAAAACAGACATATTCAAATGGAAAGCCGTGGATGCTTTCCTTCGAACTTCTCTTTAAAACTGACCTTTGGACAGTTGTCAGACAACAAATACAATTTGGGAGGGCAGGGGAAAGTCCAACTCTGGCACTCTGCCTTCTTGCCCATGACAACCAATCCACAGGATATGTTCCCTGTTGCTCTCCAGTGCAGCCAACCCCAAGCAACACCTGCTATTGTGCTGCTGATGTTTCATTAAAGAGTTTCCTAGTGGGACAGAACTAGTTAAGAAAGGCTTTAGCAGCAGGACATGGCAGAAGACAGGCTGGGAGGAAACAAGAATCTGTGCTCCCTGCCCAGATGGACTACCCACTGTGACCTTAAGCAGTTCATAATAACCCCAAGCCTCTCTCCCCAACCCAAACTTGCCCTGTAGGTTTCACATGGTGTCCTGAATACACCAGGCCACAGAACCCACCCAGCCCCACATCCGGTCTGCACCTGCATGTGCCTCTCCATCTGGATCCAAGACTTACCCTCGACTATATGGTTTCATCAATCACAGACTCTTAGCTGATGATGCACAGTGAAAAGTGTCGGCACACATTGCCGCTCTAGTCATCCCAAACACTATTCCTCCTCTGTCGTTTGGGTTGAGGCAGGGAAAGGACCCGCCTTTCCACTGGGAAGGGATCCTTCTGCCATGCCAGAGCCTCCCTTGGTGGACTCATGGCTTCCTCCTGTGCACCAGCAAACATGTCCTCAACTGTGCCTTGCTGTGCCTTCTGCTGGGTTAATGAACCCCCGGCGGCCCTGCCAGCTTCTGAGACTGAGGAAAAATAAGGGCTAGGTTGGAGGGTCCTCAAAAAAGATGCTCCAGAGGAATACTAGAGGACAAAGATGAGGATGGAGGCCAATGTGGTAGAAGCCACCAGCTCTCAGCCCTCCTACCCTGCAAAGCTGGCACACAAACCTGGAGAGGCTCCAGGTAGCTCAGTTTACCTGAATGTCAGAAGTCTCATCGCATGGAGCAGGGCTTACACTCCTTCCTCTCAACCCCACAGGATGCACATGCCTGTAACTTCACACAGGATCACCCTGGGGTGCAGCCGTCTGTGATCCCCTGCCTCACCCCTCCTTCCAAGAGAGTACACTCCCTGAGGGCAGGGTCCAGCCAAGCTCACCTGAATAACCACATCTCTTTCCCTCCATCTCTGAAGGACAGAGCCTAGCTGCCACATATCAGGACCTACATGTGATGCCCAGGTAGATAATTAGGGAGATGTATGGTGGCATCTGGGG